GTTCCAGACTGGGCTTCCTTAAAAGAAAAAGAAGAAAGACTCGAGCCCTTGCAGAGAGAAAAAGATAAAAAGCAAATCCCTGTCCATAAATTAGAGCTACTGGCGAGCAGTGAGGTGGCAAAGTTTGCTGATGTTGGTTGAAACAACAAAAAGGATTGTGAGGAGCTCCAGAAGGACTTTGTCAGGTGAATGGGCAAATGGAAAATGCTATTCAATGTAAGCAAGTGTAATGCAATACATAATACGTATCTCCTTGGCAGGGGCGTACGAAATGGGGGGCGGAGGGGGCGGGGTGCCACTCTCAGGGTGTGTGTGACAAGATGGCCCCTGCCCCCCCCCAGCTGTAGAGTGGCCGAGGGCACGCGCAGTCAGCATGGGCACCACTCTTGTGGCCTCCGTATGGGCTGCCTCTCACACAGCGACCGTATGGGCTGCTGCTCTCGGGTGCCGCCCATATGGGTGTCCATATGGGCTGCCTCTCGCATGGCGACTGTACAGGCTGCTGCGCGTGTGCACTCCATACAGGATGCCGCACATGGGCAGTCCGTACGGGATGCTGCTCGCACAGCAGCCCATACAGACAGCGCGAGAGAGTGGCAGCCCGTATGGACTGCGCATGTGCAGCATCCCGTACGGAGTGTGCACTTGTGACATCCTGTACAGATTGTGCATGCACGGCAGCCCACGGACGTTGCATGTGCACCATCGAGTGGTTCGCCCCACCCTTTGGCGTCCCACCCCAAGTGCCAGAGAGGGTTCCTCCGCCACTGCTCCATGGTAGCTAATATGACCAGATGATGATCAGAAGAGAGTACTTATCCAGACTCCCCTCCTCCCGCTAGCTAGGGAGGTGGGGTGCAAGGTGTTTCTGCATGTGCAAAGAATAGACTGAAATTTGAGAAAAAGAGAGAAATACAGAGAGACAGGGAGAGCTGGGTGGGTGTGGGCACTGTAAACAACATTGGGTGTTGGTTATCTCCCCGGAGATTTTGTGTGGGAACAGTGTGCTTTCACAGTCCGTTGGAGTTTTTAAACTATTTGCATTCACCTAGGCTCTACCTGTTTATTCAAAGTAACTTCTATTTGAAATACTACCTGTTCCATGTACAGGACCAGCTAAACAGGCAGAACTGAGGAGCCTCAGTGCATGGTTGAGACCATGGGTAAGCAAACTAAGACCAGGGGCCGGATCTGGCCCAATCGCCTTCTAAATCCAGCCTGTGGACTGTCCAGGAATCAGCATGTTTTTACATGAGTAGAATGTGTCCTTTTATTTAAAATGCATATTTGGGTTATTTGTGGGACATAGAAATTCGTTCATTATTATGAAATATAGTCTGGCCCCCCCACAAGGTCTGAGGGACAGTGGACCGGCCCCCTGCTGAAAAAGTTTGCTGACCCCTGGTTGAGACAGTGGATGGCACTAGCCTGGGGAAGCCTGGCTTAGAGTAAGGTGGACTCCCCATCCCAGCTTTAGGAGTGTAATCTAAGAGTGATAACCAAAGTGGGATGTAAAATGGGTAGAAGCCCCACCTTAATGGACAATGGCCACCAGGTCACCAGAAAGTTCACCCAAGAATCCTTGATGGCAACTTCCATCCACCACAGAGAGAAATTCCAGACCCTTGAGGTGGAATCTGCATGCTGTCCTAGGACTGAGTGCGCAAAGCAAGCCCCACTCCACAAATCAGGATGCGTAGTTGGACTGTGCCTTATTATACACCTTTCTGTGTAGAACTACCGAGTGGGCAGCCTAAAGTCAGCCCAGGGCCTGAAGGTACTTCACTGAGAAGATGCCTCCTGCAATTAAAAGGCTCCTCACACGGGGGAGCTGCGTACAGATCTAGGGCTTACTCAGTAGGAGGGACCTTTGGTGAGGCACAGCCAGATTACTTCATATGGGGCAGTGCACATCTAACATAGCTAGCCCAAAACAACTTACAGGCACTTGAATGTTCTCAGTTGAAATAGTATTTCACAATCCATGCTCGATCTGGGGAATATCACCAGTGGAGGTTCCCTGCCTTCTTTCAGATGTCTTCTGAAAACGACGCCGTTTAGATAGCCTTCACAATATGATTTTTCCTTGAAACTGGAATCTACGGATGTTTTGTTGCTGTTTTAAGCTAAGCTTTATAGATACATATAGACTGATCTTATCGTGTTTCAAGTGTAAGAGCCTTGTTATATTTTATGAAAGAGCAGATTATACATTTTCAAATAAATAAATAAATAAATAAATAAATAAATAAATAAATAAATATGTAAAATTAACATGGCTGCACTTTCCAATGTTTCGGTTACTAAGTCAAGTAAGCATGCTAAATCAGATCCCGCTTTATTTATGTCATTGCAATATGGTATGGAATGCTCTCAATTTTTTAAAAATGTCCACCCCACCCCCCAATCATTGCTGAAGTGTAGCATCTCTCATCAGAGTGGCAGAGCATTTCAAGCTGGCGTTCAAGCAAGGGATTATCCCTACTCAACAGACGAAGCTCTAACCTGATGCTCATTGACATGAACGTGACCTCCCCAAGGTTGCACAAGGAATTTGTGACAGTTGGGAAGAGCAGCTGAGTCAGCCCACTCTGAGGACACCTGACTCCCTACTTACACCAGTTCGGAGTTTACATAGCCACATCATCCCTTGAAATTATGCATGTGATTAGGGACAATGAAAGATCTGCTTTCATCACCAAGCGTGGTGACAGAAGTTAGACGGTGGGGCTAGAGATTCCCAAGTTCAGATCCCCACTGTACCACAAATCTCACCGGTTGACCTTGGGCCAGCAGCTCTTTCTCAGTCTAGCCTACATCATAGGGCTGTTATAAGGATATGTTGTATGTGTCAAGGAGTGTGTGAAATCCTGTACATTGCCCTGAGATCCTTGGAGAAAGCACAGGCCATAAGAACATAAGAAGAGCCCTTCTGGGTCAGGATAATGGCCCATCTAGTCCAACGTCCTGTTGTCACAGTGGCTGGCCAGATGCTTATGGGAAGCCCACAAGCAGTGGAGCACTCTCCTTTCCTGAACTTTTCCGCATCTAGTATAAATGTAACAAAATAAATAAAACACACCTATATTTCCAGAGTTTTCAAAGTAACATCTCTACTGTGTGTGTGTGTGTGTGTGTGTGTGTGCGCGCGCGCGCGCGCATATGCAGGCCTACTGACAGCACCCAGCACCTTCATGCAGCTGCCAAACTGGCACATTTCACCAATCCTTTTATCCACACTGGGCACCTGGCTATTGACTTGCTTGGCAGTTGCAGGTGACCATTTTAATTTCCCACAATGCCCTGGGGCAATGCTATATTTTGGGGTGGGTGGGGAAATTTAAATGGCTGTCCACTTCCATCACTGCCAGGTGATCCCATGGCTGGGGTTGGGAGCGCTGACTAAAAAGGGGCCCCACCATGGTGCACTTTGCTGAAGGATTCTATAAATCTGTAGTTGGGCCTGTGTGTTGCGACCCTTCCCCTGGGGAGGAAAAAAAGCACACCACCTCCCAGAACTGCAGCGGGGTGAAAAGGCTCTCTTTTTCAATCTCTTCAACTAAGACCACAGTGGCAGTTTTCATTCGGTATTCCATAAGAGTTCTGGGATTCCTGAGAAGTCAGGATGGACAACTCAGAAGAAGCTGAACTAGAGGCAGTATTCTAGGTAAAGGATTTTGCTTCTTATCAGCTTATACAGCTAGTGGAGTAGAACTCCAGACAGCCAGGTGATTATTCTCTCCCTTCCGCCAAAAAATAATAGTAAAATTTAAAAAATGGTTTAAGATGTTGTGAGCTGTATTATTACAAGGCATTTGTAAACATGCAGAAAGTTCTGCACATGTCAATCCATGATCCGCTTCACTGTTCAAAGGAGAGCCTCATTCCTTGTATGTAACCTGAAACCTGTTTGTCTCACAGCTGAAATGGGTTCCTCAATAGGCAACAGTGGGAGCGACAAGTTGGGATCCTAATTATCTATTTCTCCTTTGGCAGCACAATGCCATGCCATCGCCACTGAGAATGGAGAGGAGTGGATAGAGATCACAGCAAGGTGCAGAAAGTCCTTGTAAGGCAAAGAGCTACAGACTGAAATCAAACAGATCCCTGCCCAATTAAACCACAACTTGCTGTATTTCTACACAACACAGAGACACCTTGTGGTCGATTTATATAGTCCCATTTTAATAACTTGCGTATGTCCCTGGCTGGCAATTAGTAAGTTTTGTCACTGTTGTTTTTGCTGCAACAGACCAACACGGCTTTTACCCCTCTGGAATTTGTCACTCAGTATAAAATAATGAGCCAAGTTTCACTGTCTACATTCATTCCATGCACCGTGCTCTGCCAACCATTCCTGCTCATTCCACTAAGCAAGTCAGCTGATTCTGAGCTAGTTCCTGATTGGCCTCTCCCCCTATAACTGCCACACCTATTTCCAGTTATCCCTGCTGGAACCTGCATCTGTGCTTTGCTTTTGGCCTTATGCTCCTAGGTCCCAGCAGTTGTATTGTTGCACCCACCCCACCCTGCGAGTGGTGTGAGATTTCAGGGGTTCAGTTTCCTTGGAATGGGGGACAGTGGAGACTGTGGTGTCTCAATGATATATAGTATGGTTTATTTACACATCTATACAACCTCAGCCTAAGATGGAGGGGCTCACAGCACCCACCCCATAGCTTGACCATAGCTAGGAGTTAGGAGGACTCATATATCTTTTTTAAAGTACAGTGGTGCCTCGCAAGATGAAATTAATTCGTTCCGCGAGTTTTGTCGCCTTGTGATTTTTTTCGTCTTGCGAAGCACGGTGTCGGGAAAGTTTTGGAAAAGCTTCAAAAATCACCAGAGTCTTTAGAAACCTCAAAAAAGGCTACCACACCGCGTTCTATGAGTTGCTCCTCGAAGTCAAGTCGCAACTGTATTAACGGTGTTAAGAAAAAGGAAACAAACTTGCAAGACGTTTCCGTCTTGCGAAGCAAGCCCATAGGGAAAATCGTCTTGCGAAGCAGCTCAAAAAACAAAAACCCCTTTCGTCTAGTGAGTTTTTTGTCTTGCGAGGCATTCGTCTTGCGAGGTACCACTGTATAGACTCGCACAAGCTGGCCAGCTTCCGTTTTGACTTGAAATGTCAAAAAGACATCAGTGTTGTAGCCTTTCCTCATAATGGCCTGGGACCGGATCACATCTGTGGCTCACTCAGTATATTCATCTACTCTCAGGCCTATGCCTTGTCATAGGGAGAGACTTCCAAACCTTGTGCAATTTGCAGGGTGGACTTAATCCTGTTTGAGCACTAATGCTGGGGGGAGCCGAACAGGTGCAGGTGTCAGGCCAGGTTGAGGAGGGGATTAGCTGAGAAGACATCCCTGCAGGTGCTCTGCTGTCTCTCTCCACATAATCTGACAAGGGACTAAACTAGTTACCACTAGCAAGGACGATAACATTTATCTGGGGTGCGGGTGGGGTGATGGAATCGCCCAGGCCATGGCAAGTTTCTCCCCTGTGGTGTCATTATTCAGGCGTGTGTGTACTACTGCTCACAGGAGGAACTAAAAGAATTTCCCCCATGCTGCTGGGGACTACATCTTTTTAAAAATAAAATGAGATGCTCTATTAAAGCTACATTCTGGATGCGAGCTAGCCTTGATAAAACTTGACACTGTTTTCCAGAACCTCCCCTCCCCGCTAGCTCTTATGCCTGCTTCTTGAGTGGGGAAATCCTTGTGTGCAGTGATGTGTATCTTATTAGTATGAGAAACTAAGGATTGGGGGAAACATAGTGTGTGTTATTTTAGTTATAACACTGCCACCTTCCTCTTCTTCTCTTGACTGGCAACAGGGGCCACCTGGCTGCATGAGTCTGAATGACACATGTGTGTGTATATGCCTTTGCACACCAGGCCTTTTCTCTGATAGTAACACCATTTGCTCACTCAGTTCCTGAGAATGCAGATGATGATTGTCCCAAACCATTTCCATAGCTGGCATTCCTGGCTCTTGTTTCCAGCAGTCCTGGTTTTCCCAGCTGCTGTTTTCCATTGAGTTTTAACACCCTCTTGTCACATAGTGGCTTTACAATCATTTTGAGGTCTGAACTGATGAGGTGCCATTCTCTCACCTGGCATAGATTTATCATTAGCTATAAGGTGAGTGCCAGTTTCCATACGTCCAGGAGAAAGGTAGAGGGGGGCCCCCTCAATGAAATCCACATTACCCTAACCCTAACCACTACCCCTTTTAGCCAAATAATACCCACCTCCTAAATCTGTAGGTAAAATGTCTGCCGCCAAGGGTAGGAAGAATGGAATCTCCCTCCATGCACTGCCACACATCAGGGCTTAAGGAGCAGGGCTCCTGAATGAGGAAGTTTTGAGTCTTTCTTTTTAAAAACTGAGCACAGGCTTCAAGGCATCATGTGCTACAGATGATCACATGCACAATGAAACCAGGGCCGTGATAGAGGCTTGAATTTTGTTTCCTCTGCAGAGGCCTAGCTCTGTTCAGAACCTCTTCAGAACCACGTTCAGAATCATGTATCTACATAGAAGGAAGACTTCCTTCCTACAACGTCTGGCTCCAGCCTTCCCTCTGTTCTGCTGGTGGGACGTGGCATGAAGTGAAAGGTCTTCCCTCGTGTGTCCGGCTTCTTTCTCGTCTTCATTTTCTTCTGGCCTGGTGCTTCAGAGGCCTTCTCCAGCTTCTTCTTCTCATTGGGGGATGGAGGAGGAGGATCAACCGTGATCTGGGGGATGGTAAATGTATGGGTGTGGCTTCCAGGATCCTCTTCGTCGTTCCGCGTGTACTCCAGCTGCTGTGCATCAAAGATGGCCTTTGAGCCAGACAACCGAAGTTCTGGGCTGTACTGGAAGTCAGGCCGAGATGCGCGCAGCTTCTTCAGTTGGGCTCTGCATTCACGTTCCAGATCACGGTCTGAGATGGGCACGTCATGTACCTGCCAGATACAAGGAAAGCTTTTAGGATCCGAGGCCTCAAACCTGTAACTTGGGATTTGGGGCCTGCTGCCTAAGGAAAGGGGGCTCCCAAGAAGGCAATCTGGAATGGCTGTCATAATGTTAGGAATCTATCAACAGATAGAAAGTGAGGAAGGGAGAAGCAGAAGAATAGCAGCCAATAAACTGAAAGCTTGTTGGATAGAGGCTGCCCAGTCTGAGACAGCAGAGCCAAGCAGATCTGGCAGCTGACACGTGTGTGTGTGTGTGTGTGTACACAGACTAGTGGTTGTGAGCAGATCTCCTTAAGGCAATGTGTTCAGCTGGTGTTGGCCCCAAGAAAGCTTGGCTTTCTTTTTCCTGAAAGGTTGTTTTCAGACAGCCCTTTCCCCATTATTCTGTTGTTTTTATAGGTAACCATACACATAAAAATAAAATTTGGGAGCATGGCAAACACATTCACAAGCACATGTAGCATGTTCATCTTGCAGCCAGGCTTGGCCATGGCTCCCTGTCATAGGATCACAGAGTTGGAAGGGGACTCAAAAGGTGTGAGCATATAAGCTACAGGGCAATCGTCCCATGAACTATGCAGTTGAGGGGTCCCTAGATGAAAGTTTAACTGAAGCTTGACAATTATCTCCTCCCCATGATCACCCTCACCGGGGCTGCCAATTTTCTTAATCACCTCTTGCTCCTAGGCAGGACCTGCAGACATGAACAGGTGAACACACTTCTTCATGTCTTCCAGCTCTACAATTCAATGATTCTATGTCATGAAAAGCTTTGCCTGCTTATTTTTGCACATCACAATTCTGTGAAAGGCATGAGAGCAGGTTTTTTGGCAATCCTAACACACACAGAGGGAGCCTGCTGTATCTGATGCAGAAAGAAACAAGAAAGGGAGCTGCAGGTAATTTAAATGTAGGGCAGGGATAAGGAATCTGGGGCTCTCCTGTTGTTGCTGGACAACAGCTCTCATCACCCCTGGCCATTGGCCATGCTGACAGGGCAGGGGCGTTAATGGGAGTTGGAGTCTAACAACATCTGAAGGACCACAGTTCCCCGACCCCAGGTGTAGGATGATCTCCTGTTGCTGCTGCTGGCAATTCAGTAGACTGGGTAAAAGTCCCAGGAAGAGGAGCTCCAGTGGTTTCTACCTCAGCCATGAATGTGTCTTCTTGCAGGAGGTGAGCTGGGATACTGCGCAGTTTCTCCAGGGTCTCCACCACCCCTGCGCAGTCACGTAGTTTCTCTGAGGAGCCCAGGGCCAAGCGGATCAACAGCATCCCCACACGAAACAGCACCTTGATCCCTGCAGAAGAAAAATCGGGGCAGAGTTTAGGGCACTCAGATATGGTCAGAAACTCCCTTATACTAGGCCAGGCTACTTGTTTATCTGTCTCAGAAATGTCTTTTCTTCTTGGCAGAGTCTTGGGCCAGAGAACACCTTCCACATCATCAGCTACCTGACCTTTTCAGCTAGAGGTGGGACCTTTGGTGTAACACATAGCTTAGAGGTAGACAACCCGCCTTGTACACAGAGGGTCCCAAATTCAATCCCTGGCATCTCCAGGTAGGGCTGGGGAGAGACATCTGTATGAAACCCTGAAGGGCCATTGCCAGCCATTGGAGGCAAAACTGAGCTAGATGGACGAATGACCTGACTCAGTAAAAGGCAGGTTCCTATGTTTCTATGCTCCAAAACAAACATTCCTCACCTAGGCCTCTGCCAACTCTAACCACTCCATTGAGGCCTTGTGATGTTTCGCCCACAGATTCTCTCCTCCTCCACCCTTTGAATAGGCCCACAGTTCCTTAAGTCCATGACAGCCACTCACCCTCACTGAGAAAGGCATCCCACACCCTCAGCACTGTGGGAAAGGGCAGGCTGCGGGTAAAGAGGCACAGAAACCACTCTGGCATGTAGAGCAGAGGGCCCACGCCATGCTTCTGCAAGTGCTTAAGCGCCTTGGGGCACACCCGGCGCAGAAGGGCAACAAACACTTCGCTGTCCAGCAACAGCGCTTCCTGCAGGAGAAGGGAGAGAAAATGTCGTGGTTAAATATATGGTTGGTCACATGTTCTCAGGTACTGTCCCGAAGGACTTCATCCCGCCATAACCCACAAACTCCACCTTTCACATCTTTCAAAATGAATGGCTCTTTCTAATTTGCCAGAAACTGTTTCCGGAGTCTATGCTGCCCATTTTATCTGGCAGAACTCTTGCACCTCAGCAGCTGTGGGACAGGCCAAAAAGCAACTGCTGAAGGTTCTCTCACAGTCATCGCTGTTGAAAGCTGCAGCTCTTGAATCCCTGTCTTTTATTCAGCTATTCAAACGTGCAAACGCCATATCTTTGAAATGGTGGCGGCCCTACTAGTACTTGAGATGGAGGCCCTACAAATCAGACCTTTCTCTCCCCAACCAAGTCAGCCCACATCCACAATAATCCTAGATTAATCTTCCCCAACCTGGTGTCCTTCAGATGTTGCTGGACTCCTCACAAGTGGCCATGTTTGGTGGTGCCGATGGCAGTTGTAGTCCAACAGCACCTCCACCCTCCCCCAAATTATCTGACAACTGCTCTCAGAAGATAAGTTTCTACACAGCTCTGCCCTCAGTGGGAAATGTCCCTGACTCAGCGTCACAACTGCCCACTTCCTGTTGCCCCAGGGAGGACTCTCCTCCTTCCCCCAGTCTATTACCATCTTGGGGCTGTAGTAGCCAGGCAGGTAGCAGTCGCAGATCTGCACCAGGCACCAGAAGGCTTGCTGGAAAGGACAAGTAGGCTGAATTAGTGAAACTTTCAGACAAATGGGAACTGCGGGGGGTGGGGGTGGAGGCAGGAGGGAAGGGAAAGGACTGTGATGGGAAGAATGAGAGAAATGATGCTAATAAAGAAGAGGAAGGAATCATGACACCAATAGGAACAAAGGGCATCCCCTCCAAGTGCCATGGAAAATCCCAGACATCCCATTCTTTTTGTGCAATATCTTGGGTGTTGTGATCTTGCACGCTCTCATGCTGCACTCGCCCACCCCACCCCCCAGTGCTGTTTTGGGGTGAAAGCATGCCCTAGAAGACGCACAAACTTTGTTTTGGGTCAGAAAAAGTCAGACAGTATGTGTAGCTTGGCATGAGACTCACCTCTGCAGGCATGTGCATGAGCAGCAGAGCACCCAGCGGTCCCTGGGCCTGACAGTAACCCTCCTGGGGCCGATATACAGTGTAGGCTTTTAGTAGTTGCAGGAGTCCTTGCTGCCTGTAAGGGAACAGAGGCTTAGAAAGAAGCCTGGAATTCATAGACACAGCCTTACATTTAGTTACACCCATCCATTCCAGCCAGAAAAAGCAAACCTGCTCTACTCTCCTGTTGTCCTACATTAGACCACAGGCCAGATTCAATGAACTGGTTCTGTTAGTGGAAGCCCATGCAAGGACTTCCAGTAGCACAGCAGGGCTTTCTCACCTCCACTCTCCCCAAATCTGCTCTGGAGGGTTGGGGGAACCCCTAGAACAGATTTAGGAGATACATGGGGTAGGAGAGGGGGGAATCACTTGCACTGATGAGACACATTCCTCAGCCCTCCTTTGGATACAGCCCTATGTGTACAAACTGCTTTAGACATTTGAATATTAAATAGCTTATAAATACTGCCAATAAATAAATGAATAAACAGAGTCAGCTGCCTTGGAATTGGGCATCCTAAAGAATGTCATTTAGGCACAAGCAACCCTCAATTGCCAGTTCTCATGCTTGTGGAGGAGAGGGGGGAAGGAGGAAAATGAGAAAACAAATGCAGCGTTAAACGTCTCTTCCAAGTGGTCAGTGAAATAGTACAATCCATGGCTTGACCTCATTTCATGTATACACCAACAGCTTTTGAAGCTACCCCGTTCATCCACCCCATCAATGTTCCTTCCTTCCTGCTCTATTTCCTCCTTGTTTTTCATGGCTTTTAAAATGGTTCCCCCCACTGCTCTCCTTCTGCTGCAGCTACTATTATTTTGTCCCTCTGCCCACCTATTACCACACTTGATGCGCTTTTCTCCCTCCACACCTTTGTTTTCTAATCTCTTCCATCCCAATCCTTGCTAGATCATTCCAATTTGTTTGAAAAACTAAAGCCTAAAACAATTATGAAAAGGAAATAAGTGTATGCATATATAGCTGATGTTCTGTGTGCAGAATCTGGATTACTGACTTGTTTATTATAGTCCCAGGGCATGCACACTGTCTGTTTGGCCAAGTTCTGGCCATGGTCTGTGAAATATACTCAGAGTCGCAAAGTGATTTCATGCTCCTTATTCAGCTCATAGTGGTGAGGAGGAATGAATGAAAGTCCCCTCAAAGTATCTGCTTTATATACATTATTTACACAATGGGCTGCACATGATTGGCTAATTCCGGAATTCTACTGTAAGCCAATCAGGTTGTGGATTCACTTCTATCTGGAGCATGATTGGGTAGTTCCTGCCAACCAATCATACTGCTGCATTGTTCTAGGACCAATCAGACTGCTGCCTTTTGGATCCTATTGTTCTAGGACCAATCAGACTGCTGCAGTTTGGATCCTATTCAACTCAGTACATAACAGTCTGGCAATGCAGGAAGAGTGTTTGGGATCACTGGTCTTCAAAGGGAGCTGGGTCAGGACCCACTACTGAGTTCCAGCCTGAACTGAGGTGGGTCAGAACAGCAGCACTGCCACCAGGGAAAGATATAGCAAAAAGAAGAAGAAGAAATGGGTTCCCAAATGCATGTCTGGGTTAAAGGTGGGTCCCAGGTCCGAAAAAACTATTTTGGATGACTCCTTATATTCCTCCACAAGAGCTGAGTCCTTCTGTTGTCACAACAGGCAGACTAGACAATCACTGGGCTAGATGGGGCAAAGAATCTGTCTTGGGTTAAAGCAGTTTTCTATGCCAGCAGCATCAGAGAAAAAGAAGAACCCAGTCTTAGTACATTAGATAGTACTAAAATGATAATGATGAAACAAGGTAGCTAAAATGACAAGAGGAAACAAAATGACGTAAGAGGAAACAAAAAACAAAGAGGAAACAAAAAAATAAAAATAAAAAGAAGTTCGAACTAAGTATGGGTTGAACTATGTCAGCTGCATGTAGGAATAAAGGCTCTTTGGCTCCCCCTAGAGGAAATGAAACAAAAAGAGAAGCAGGGCTCCCTTGGGTTGGTTACTATAGCGTCACACGGTCCCCTTGTTCCAAGCGGAAATCGCAACCTGTACTTCATAGAAAGCTTCAGTCTCTTTCAGAAGACAATGAAAGAGGGCTTCCCATGTGCAACCTTCCCCCTGCCTCTGATCACATGCCAATATATCCAAAAGGAAACAAGTTCATGTTACCTGTGAGGAGGAGAGAGAGAGAGAGAGAGAGAGAGAGCGCTATGCTAGCACAGATAGCAGTGCAGTCAGTGGCGTAGCGTGGGTTGTCAGCACCCGGGGCAAGGCAAGAAATTTGCGCCCCCTAACCCATGGATTTGCGCCCCCTAACCCGTGGATTTGCGCCCCCTAACCCGTGGATTTGCCCTAACCCCAGATGTTGCGCCCGGTGCGGCCGGCCCCCCCTGCACCCCCCACGCTACGCCACTGAGTGCAGTACAGATTAGGTACTCTGAGGCTGAAATCCTATTTGGACTCAGTGAGGCTTGCTTCTGCATAGACATGTATAGGATTGCACTGTTAGCCTGACAGGGAATCTGTGGCCATCCATATGTTGTTTGACTTTCAAAACTCACCAGCCCCAGCCAGCATGGCTAGGGTCAAGGGTCATATAGTGGGAGTTGTCGCCCAACAACATCTGGAGGGCATCAGCTTCCCTGCCCCACAGCTACAGGGCGATAGATTGTGTGCAAGTATTTAACTATGGCTGAAATAATTATACTCTAATGATCTAATGATTTTGATATTTGTTTGTGTTCTGTCTTCAAGGTTTCTGGGAGATTCAAATTGCGCTGGATGTGCTCTCGAGTGCAACCCACCTTCCCCGGCTGCCTACAGGTAAATAAATGTCCATTACGAACATCAGGACTGCCTTGCTGCTAATTCATGTTCGTCTCCTCCAGCCTACTGTCTCTGCCGCAGGTCCGCCAGACGCCCCTGAAAACTCACAGGCAGGGCATCAGCATGGTGACGATTCCCTCTTGTGTGTCTCCATTAATATTAATGGCATAAGAGTGTGTCTTTTGCAGCCACGTTTAAAAAGGCAATACAGATACAATTTGCTGTTTTGTCTCTGGAGGGAACTTAGGCAACTTGGCTGCTGTTGGCAAGGCCTTCCAGGTTGTGATCTCACGGACAGAGTCCTCATTCACAAGACTGTGTGTGTAAAGTGTGCACCAGCCAGTGGTGGAGGAAGCTGCTTGGGCGCCTGGGGCGGGGCGAGCTGCCCAAAGGGGTGGGGCGCACCATGGGGCCTCCAGAGTCTGCCTGTCTCCTCCCACTCTGTTGCCCTACAGCTGGGGGGAGACAGCAGGTGGACCGTTTGGGCAGCGCGGAGCCTGACCGTGCCCAAGCCACCGCGTCTCTCCCAGGCGAGATACATGGCTTGGGCACGCTGCAGGCCCCACGGTGAGTGCTGCCCGGCATTTTGTCACCCCCAGTGGTGGCACCCGGGGCCAGCCACACCCACTGCACGCCCCTTCCTCTGCCCCTGCCTCCAGCCACAGGTTTGCTTTCCTTTGTGAGGCTCTCCTGTAACTCACAACATGTGCTAGAACTTCAGGCCTGGAAATTTGCGCATTTCACTTCCCTGCTATCAAAGCCAGGGAAATGAAACTGTAATAGGAACATAGTAAGCTGCCATGCATCACATCAGGCTGCTTGCCCATCTAGCCCAGTATTGTCCACTTTGACAGGCAGTTCTCCTGGTTCTCAAGCAAATATCTTTTCTATCACCTGCTACCTAATGCTTTTTAACTGGAGATGCCAAGAGATACTCTGCCGCTGAACTATGGTTCCTTTCTCAAACAGGGAGATTGTGGGCAGTGTTCAACAAAATAGTTGCATGTGCGCACAAGGATGACCACTAAGTACAAAGGAATTCCGCCTCCCCCGGCCATCTCCAGATCTGCTCTGAAGGGTTCAAAGCAGCCCTAGAACAGATTTAGGGAGTGCACAGAGGGACCAAAGGGGTAAGAATGTCCCATTGCACAAGGAGAAATTCACTTGAGTGTGAACAACCCCATGTCTGCACCTAGGCTACTGGAGAATGGTAGAGTACACCCGCTCAAGAATTCTGCTTAAATATAAAAGGAAAAGGAACACCAAAACTGTTTTGTTGTGGTAATGAGTGTCAGAAGCCCATTTACTAGTATTTGTCCAGTTTTGTTTTCATTTAAAGTTTGGATGTGTGCTCCCCTGTTCAAGTTCTACAGCAAGATTCCATGAAACCTCCACATTAAATGAAGAAGCACAGCCAGCCTAGCCTTCTTTCACTTCATATGGCTTACAGAAGAAGCATGTTTACATTTTATTTTAAAAGTGTTTCTTACGCTGCATTCAGGAAACTTGACTTGCTGAAAGACCCTCCATTCAACTTCACACCTTTTAAACCCTATGGTAGTCTATTCAGAAATTAATCTGCCTCTCCTGTTCACATTATTAGCCCTTCACTTACCCAGGCCCTTCAGGGGACAGAAACATCTCATGGAAAGGGAACTGGCGATGAATGTCCTTTCTGATGGTCTCCACCCATTGAGGATCACCAGGTATCTCCTGCAGCTCCTACAACAACAAACTACTTTCAGAATGACCTGGATAGAAGGGTTACAAGATTCAGGAGAGATCACAGCCACACAGCCACACACACACACAGAGAGAGAGAGGGGGGGAGAGATACAGATACACAGATGCTCAAGACACAGACTATTCCTGAAGGAAGTATATATGGTTCCAACTTTTTAAGCCGCAAACAGACCTAGATAACTTTTGTTGTTGTTTCAATCTACATTTTACCAAAATTGCTGGGCTTTTCATCTGCTGCTGTTTTAGTTTTGTAATTGGGCTGTTTGGGATGTATTTAAACATTGTTTCAGATTGTTTTTCCATAGATTGTTTGTGAGCTGCCTTGAGAAAGCTTTGCCCTGAAAGGCAGTATATGAGTTGATTAAATAAGTGGAAACATGCAAAGGAATTAACAATGGCAAGCTCAAGGTTTCCTTCCAGCCAGAATGAAGAACAGCAAGTTTAACAGCCCAATCCTATGCATGTTGACTTAAATCCCATTATCTTAAAGGAGACTTACTTCAAGGTAATTGTTTGTAGCATTATACTGCACTGCACAGCATTCCTTACTTGCTATGAGAACTGCTCTAGCCATAACTATGTCTGGGCAGCCACCAGATGATAATGTAAAATATCCAAATCAGCAATCTCAGCCAGTAAGAACAAGGTGATGGGTTGCCCAACGAACCATGAAATGAAATGAGGGTTTACAGGGAGAGGACATGGAAGAAGAGGATGAGGAGGTGAGTAATGGCAGAAACTGCAGCAAGCAGAGACCTACAGGAATGTCAGAGTGCAAGTACAGCTGCACAAGATGTGACCTCACCTGGTACTTTCCGGGGTTCCTCATCATTTTGGCTTGTCCTCCACACAGCAGAGGCCAACAGCGGACACGTAAGGATGAAGGGATCCCCTTCCGGCATAGCAGCTTCACCTGAGCCAACAGACCTCATCAGCAAAACAGTGATCCTGTACAATGCTCCATCATAAGGTGGACCCAAATGTAGGCCCATCATAGAGCCAGTCAAGGATGGGGCCAGAGATAGCTGGCAGGTGTCCATCTTGTTTCCCATGCCTTTTAACATCCACATGAAACCCCTGAATGAGGGTCAAGTGCAGATTTAGGGCAAGGTGTCATCGGTATGTGGTTGATGATGATTTCCAGCTCTGTTTCTCCTTTACATTTCATTTTGTTGAGGCTGCAGAAATGCTAGATTGGCGTCTGGGACCAGGAATGGACTGGAATCATATATTTTGAGAGTATATATTGGATTCATTTATTTTGAGAGTATATATTGTCATTTCATACAACATATAACATGGTACTGTACAACAATATATACAATAAAATATAAACCACAATGAAATCAGTAAAAAAAAAAGATGTATATGTTAGGAGATCAATAAACTAAACCTCAATCTCCTTGACAAGATGGAGGTACTGTGGATATGTGGTTTATCAATCAGAGGAGGTGGTATTCAACCTGGTCTGAATGGGGTTGCACTCTTTCCCTAAACAGGAATGGTTAACCTATGGTCCTCCAGATATTGCTAGACTACAACTTCCACCAAGCTTGAACAATAGTTCTGCCATGATCTCTTCTCACTGTGCTAGTATTTGGAGGAAGATCAGGGAGGGTGGATTTAAAAATGCTGGTGAATACCCTTGCTAGGGGAGGAGCATGTCTCCAAAAATGTGGAGCAAATTCTCATTGTGTAGGCAGAATATGGGCTGTTGTTCTTTGTCTATGAGTCAGTGAGAGAAACTCCTTGTGAACGTTATTTTCTGATCCTAATGGGACTCATCAAATGCTCCATTTAAAGAGGATAGCAGTATCAACAATAAAGCAAATTATCTCCAATTTCCTCTTACCTTTCTGTAACGCCGGGCCATGGTTTTCTCCCAATGACTTGTCATCTCCAGCCACTTGGTCTCACGGTGCCGGATGAGCTCAACTGTGGGCTGCCCTAGGCTATATGTGGGAGAAACAAGAACAAGGCTATAGACATCTTCCTCTTCCCTCACTTATTGGCCACTTTCTTTTTTAACGCATCCATCATGTCTCATTAGATGCACCTAGCCAATCTTACAATGTTTCATTTATTGAGGGCTGCTTATAAATTTTTTTAGTGCATTTTAAAATTATTTGCAATCAGGCTGCTATGTATTAGGCAACAAACGAATTAAATAATACTAATGTAAAAATGAGGCAAGTTGTCATTCCTTCAGATCCACCTCAGAACCACTTTCCTTTGAGGTGCAAATGCAAAAATGGCCACTACTACAGGGAGCTACTTCAGAAAAAGCACACTCATTGCCACCCACAGAGACAGGCCTCAGGATGTTGATGATCGTGGGTTCTGGGCGGCTTCCTATGGATTTAGCGGTCCTGAGCGATATAAGACCTTAAAAGTAAAAAAACAGCACTTTTAATTGGACCTGGAAACAAATAAGCAGCTAACATAGTAATGTCAGAACCAGTGCTCAGGGCCGTCTTAAGCATATCCGGCACCGTGATGCAAAGATCCCTCCGGCGCCCCCTCCGGCAACTCCAAAACAAGGGAGGGGGTGGTGGAAAATGTCCTCTGCCTCCCCCACTGCCCTGATCCCTGGCCTGGTGGCAGGGATCAAGCAGGGAAACGTGCTGGCGGACATGCTCTCCGGTGTTGGGGCGCCAGAGAAGGCAGCCCAGGAAGGCTGCACACCGCCTTTCGCCAGGAAGTAGGAAGAGGACAACGACTGGAAGTCTTTAGCAGATGCAGAGGCTTGGGAAGGAAGCCACACGCATGCCAGCCATATAGTTGGCGGGGCGCAGCTGGCGGGCGTGCAGGGAAAGGGGAGGCTGCCGGCAAAGCCGCACAGCTCCCCCACTCGTTTGGGCGCCCCTGAGAGGCCGGCGCCCTGGCACAACGAACCACTAAGACCAATGGGAAAGACGGCTCTGCCAGTGCTATATATTCACATCTTCTTGTCCCACTTATGGATCTACCCACCATGCTCTGCTCTGTTTGTGAATTCCAAACAGTCAAAGGCAGCCCCATGCACTTCAGGTCTGTGGGATCCACTTTGGGTTTTTCTCTTAGAATCCCGAGGCCCATCAGCTGGAACTCGGTGCCAAATAGTGACTCAGGCAGGCAGGCATATGCTAAGAATTAAGAAGCAGGATGTTTCTGAGCACATGCTCAGCCTAGGAACTTGTGAGCAGTAGTAGAACCAACTTCACAAGTCCCTTTTCACAAAAATCTGTTCCTGTTTCCTTCCTCTGCTTTTCTTTTTCAGAAGCCTAATCAGAAAGGAGAAAGCTTTTCTATTGTTGCCAGCTCTTGCTGATCTACTGCAGATTAGCCAGAGATCTATCAGTTGATCCCGATCTACTTTCTGCCCTATCGGTTTAAGTTCTAACTGTAATTAGTAAGCAAATACAGAGCAGCCCTAAACAAATAATGTAATCAGCAAGTAAACACTGATTAAATCTTAAAATATGTTTGGGGAGTTGGCTACTTGGTTTCTCCCCTACCCCTCTAGAGAAATATTCAGTTTTGTAGATCCAGAGACACAGCATGGCTCCTTACAGTCCTGTTTTTATGTGTCATGTTCCTTGAGTGACAGAGAAATGCACTGAAAATTGTGGAATGAAAAACGGGAAGACATGTTAGCATCCTGCAAGCAAATCAGGATGAAGCATCACTGTCATTGTAACTAAACAAATCAGAAAGAATGTTAAATAAAGGCTGGATATTATCTAACTTCCGCGTAAGCTTTGTGCAGGCAAATCAGGATGAATGTTCAATAAATAGATGGTCAGAAGCAGCCTTTTAATAAATTTGACTTTCGTGCTCTCTTTCCCAGGAAGAAAACTGTACATTGGCCAGGAAGAAGGGAAAAACTTTTTATCTTCAACAGGAAAGTCTCAGCATCTCACTAAACTCCAGTTTTCTATGATCCTTGGGGGAAGTAATGAAAGCTAAAGTTGTATTAAGTTGCATCGAAACTGATGCAGATTTGCAGTGTAGGTGTCAAACTGATGTAGATTTGCAGGGCTTCTGAATCTCCTGTGCAGTACGTCCTGCACGCAGGCAAGCTGAAGAAACCTTGTCACTAACCACTGTAACCACCCCTGTTGCCATGGCGCACAAGTTGTCATGGACACAGTGAGAGGATGTGGCCACTCATGATTGCTATAACAGGAAGTGTTAGTTCATAGGTAGGCAGAGACATTTTCCTATGGAGGCTTCTCCTTCTACCTTACAGTAAATCTTAACATTCGGTCCATTGCTCATTCCAGCCCAGTCTTTATAGCCCTGTTACAAGTTGGACTTCAAGCCAGCTAGAGAATCTATCTAGTATTAATATGCATACATGAGTAATATTGCAGAGAGCTCCTGAGACGACTTTGCATTGCATTGTTTCATTTATTTATTTATCCCACTTGTATACCACGTAATCATTTACGTATCTAAGTGGTGTACCTAAAAGTAAACCACAGAAAATGGGACAAACATTAAAGGGTGAGCTATGTAGAAGTAAGGGAGGGAGGTGGGCAATCTGTTTCCACCAAGACTTGATCTCCCCACTCTCTACTAGTTACCTAAATTCTAGACTGCAAGCAACAATGATTGGGTCAATTTCTCTTGAGTTCCATTATGCAAAAAGTCAATCTGGTTTGCTTTTTAATTTCCCCTTGCACCACTTCCTGTCTTTTCCAATACATGCAACCACTTTGCTAAGCAGTTTTAACCCTGCACTGAAAATATTCCTGGAGTATTGAAGCTTGACAAATGAAGCCTATGGGCTGCATCCCCTCTACATCTTAGAAGTCCTTGTTTCAAATTATACCATTCCAATCAACAACATCTATCAACCTCACCTACTCCAGCCATTTCCCCATTGCAAATACTGTAACTGTAATAAAATAAAGATGGGGATTTGATGGGGATTTGAGGAAGGCAACTGACCAGGCAGAAAACAACAACACATGGGCCTGTTTCTATATGACTGCAAACAAATTATATATTTAAAGCACATTCGAAGCACATTCTTTCCCTCAAAGAATTCTGGGCACTATAGTTTACCCTTCACAGAGTTACAATTCCCAGGACCCCTTAGCTATCTACAGTGCCCAGAATTCTTTAGTTTTCCAACCATCCCCTGGGGTTTTCCTGTTAAGCATTAAGCCTATGGAGAATTCAACCTTGAATAAGTTAACTACTGAATAAGACCTTATCAATTTCAAGACAAGAGGGGAGTTTTGCAAGAAATGAGATTTCAGATTGCCTCAAGATTGCCATTAGAGTACACATGAAGCAGGTACATCTCCAGTTTGTCGCAGTTTGTATAGTTTCACCAAGGAAGGTCAAAATAACACAGAGAATGCTGAATAAAGTTTGGAAAAAAATTATTTGGGGTGATACAGGGTCATATAATACTTTGAATATGTTGGGCTATGACCAATGTCTGCAGCAGAGAGAGCCAGGAGGATCATATGTAATTATATAACAAGAAAAATTCATAAAGAAATAACTAGATAATGAGACGAATTGATGACACCAATTGTACAATTGGCCAATACGTTATTCATGTAAATATGCTGAAGTGTTAACAGGTATCAAATTTTGAATCTGTGATAATTATCTGTTTCCCTAGGCAAGGCAATAGTCACTGTCCTGCTCCAGCAAATGAGATATACATATGGAAACAGGCCTCCATGTTCCCAGTTAACAAAGATACAGATGAGAAGAGCACATCTGTCACAATGGTTAGGGAAGCCCCACTGATCTGACTGGATGCATTTTTGCTAGTTCTATGGATTGTTTGAGCTGAGCCAAGATTTCTGTCCTCCTACATCAGGGACAGGAAGCTTATGGCCCTCCAGATGTTGCTGGAATCCAACCCTAACCATTGGCACTGCTGGTTGGGGCTAATAGGATTGGAGTCAACAGCATCTGGAGAGCCACATGTTCCTACATAATAAACCTGGGACCACACTATAGGTTTATTGTGTCTTTAATATTTTGTTGGGAGCCGCCCAGAGTGGCTGGAGCAACCCAGTCAGATGGGTGGCTTATTATTGTTGTTGTAATTATTATTGTCATCATCATCTATTATGTGTTGTGAATTTCTTTCTGTAGAAAAGGGAAGGAAGACTAGGAATGGAAAGATGAAGGAAGGTTTAGAACTAAGTACCAGGGATCTTGACCGCTTTTCATCCTCTCCATAAACAAAACCCATTCCTAGTCTCCCAAATAGCCACAATTCACTTAAATTAAATATGAGAGTGGATCACATTCCCTGATCCATTCTTCTTCTTCTTTTTCATTTCACAGTTATCAATATGTGTTTTAGAGCTACCTAAACAAAACTGGAAGCAATAATTATATGTTTCTTCTCCTTGGTTTTAAATCACATTCCTTGCTAATTAAATTAAGGATTATTATTCTGGGATCTGTGGACCCAGATGAGAACAAGAGTATCCTTCAGGAGGATGATGCTCATCACATTCCAGAAACCTGTGCCTGCCTTTACAAACAAGCAAGGATCTAGAAATGATAATGCTGGGGAATAATGTGTCCCGCCATCTTGAAAACTGCTACCATGCAGAGGTATTCAATGTCATCTTCCAAAAAGTGCTGCTTCACCCTCTCCCAAAGCTTCCTCCCCCTTTTCCCCATGGTCTTTGCAACAGAAAGCCTGCCTTACCCATTCTGGAGGCTACTGCCCCCGATGAAGCCATAGCGATCAGCTTGGCGATATGGAGGCATCCCATTCAGCTCGGAGTCGGAGCCCAGAGAGCTGGCATCATCGTTCAGGGATAAATCAAAGGCATCTGGCAAGTCAGCCGCAGCTTGGCTCACATCAGGGAGCTCTTTGGAAAGAGTGAGGTCCGACATCCTTCTGTCCGAGAACAGCACCCTTATCTCAGGTTAGTTGCTACTGCACCCTTGACTTCACATCTGAATAATGAGAAACACGGAGCTGCGTCTATGACTGGGCCCCTTCTCAGTACTCCTGTGACTCTAGTTCCCCACAAAGCTCTGTAAGCTATTTCCTCCCACAACCATTTCCTGATGCAACTGACAGCACCCAGAGCTCTGCAAAGTGAACAGGGCAAAGGGGGCAGGGAGAGAGAGAAATGTGGGGAGCTGAAAATATGTGGGAAGCTAAACACTAGACAGCTTCCTACAGAGAGACTTGGAAGGTAGCCAACACCCCCAGCGAATGGCCTTACCTTCTTTCACCTGCTCCCCATGTACAAACATAGCCGTACTCCAAGTCAGGCTGTTGGCCATGTTACTTAGCACACTCTAAACGGACTGGCAACTGAATTCAATGTGTTCTCAGCCTGGGTTTTCCCAATCCTAGGTCTGGCACTGCAGTTACTATACCACTATGTTGAAAAATGTGTGGTTAAAGTGAACACCTCTATATGCAGTGGTGGCTAATGCTCATTGAGACTGGTAGGGCAGAAGGCTGGGAGCCCAACAGTAGGTGGAGCTAGAGTCAATGTTAGGTGGAGCTAATTGAATCTAGTTTTGCTCCCACATTCATTCCTGCTGGGCAACACTGATGCTAAAGAAGAGGAAGCTGACAGCTATTCCTACCCTCCCTGGGCTGGGTGTAAGTAGGCAGGTAGGCTGAGGACAGACTGAGGTTGCTGAGGTTGCACCCAAAAGGACTAGCTTCCACTGAATTTATGACAAAACCACTGGTTGGTATACAAAATGGACCCAGTGTGGCACGTGAAAGAATCCAGCTGGTCTGGATCATTTAGAATCAGTCAGAAACAAGTGTGTGCTACTCCTGCCTTAGCTGCAACCACTCAGCCAAACAAATGAGGCTGCAATCTCTGGGGAAGGCTGTGTTTACAGACATAGTTCCCAGTGGTGTGCGTGTGGCGTCATGATTTGGAAAGTCACTGGCCTGAGTCACTGACTGCATAAACAACCACCCAGCACAACATTATTGGCTAGAAGATGCTGAAAACAATAGCTTCAAGTTCTCTGACCAAGCCTCCCTCACCCCACCCATTTTGGTTATGAGAGGCAGCAACTAGGGTAGCAAAAGAGTTCTTCTTCCATACCAGGGCTAGTCAATGTGGTGCCCTCCAGATGTTGTTGGACTACAACTCCCATCAGCCTGTCAACATAGCCAGTGGTCAAGAATGAAGGGAGTTGGGAATCCAGCATCTGGAAACCACAGAGTTACTGCCCTGTTTAGTGCTGCAGCAGCATAGGCACTGCTCTCTAGGAGCCATGTTTTCCCTGTAATATTTACTGAATTTGGGGTTTATATATTTCAACTGGACTTGGAAAAGCCCTCCTATGCCAGCTTCACACAAATCCCAAATGGAAGGCAGTTATTTATAGGCACATGTAGATCAAAAGATCACAAATTTGGGTGTATTTTTTCATGCAGCACACATCATAGCTCCTCAATCTAGTGAATACAGAAAATGAAAAACGTATAAATGTCACATGCACATAAATGGCAAAACAAATAAATGCCTTCCATGTGCTTATTTTGTAATCTGTGAAGCTGCAGCCTGGCCTATACTCAAGAAAATCTATTAAGAAGTATAGATTCAGGTTTGCCCTCCTCTCTTGGCATAGCGTCCTATGGCTCCAACTACTTTCCGTTCCTCAGAATTGGGGAAACTACAACTTGGAAGTGGAACGAAAATTTCCACTCTAGCAGATTCTCATAAAAAGCAGCTGGAGAGAGGCCAAATGCAAAGCCCCGATTTGGACTTTAGTGTGTTTATATCCTACTATAGTGGTGCACCACATCAATGTTGGGTTTCCTGACTCCAATCCTCAGAAAACAGGGACACTATTCTACATCTGTAGAATGTCCCTATTTTCTGAGGAATGTTGGAGGGTTAATCTTCCTATCTGTAAATGGGGTGGGGGTGGGTGGGAGGTTAGTCGTGGAAGTGAAAACGTTAAAGCGTTGCTCATGTTTTCTTTTACATAGATACAGTATACGTATCCTCTGGGAAATAAGTACTATGGGAAGCTCAGCGTTCCGGGCACTTGTGACGCCGTTTCCTCAACCGCCTTAGGGAAGGCTCTGGGGCTGGAAGGGAGAAAGGCCGCCGCCGCCGCCCTCTTTGTGGGGAGAGGCCACGGCTCGCGCAGTCGCAGCTCGCCGGCTCCAGGGCGCGCGCTGATCCCTCCGGCCTGTAGGTGGTGGTGGCGGCGAGGGCGGCCGCCGGGGCCTGTGCGATCGCGTCTGCCCTTCCTGCTCGCTGCTTCTTTCGGCGGAGGCTCCTCGGCGAAGAGGTAGAAGAAGAGCCGAGCCGGCGCTGCCCCTTGCTCTTCGCCTGCGCTGGGACCACCGAGTCGGGCCGGCGGGAGGGGGCGCTGGAAAGAGAGAGCGGCGGAGGGAGAGAGAGCGGAGCCCAGGCAGCGCAGCTTCCTCTCTCCAAGCGGGCCGCCATGTCGGACGGCGAGAAGCTCAATTTGGATTCCATCATCGGGCGCCTCCTGGAAGGTGAGCCGCGGGGGCCGGGCGCGCAGCGGGGCGGGCGGGCGGGGGGGGGGGACAATTGCCGTTGGCTGCGGCGCCGCCGCCCCGCGAGTAGAATTGCGCGCGGGGCTGGAGTGGGCTGCTGGAGATTCCCGACCGCCCTCCTGCTCCCCTCCCCGCGCTGGAATGCGCGGCGGAGGCGCCCCCGCTCACGCTGCTGCCTCAGCCTCCGCCGCGAACGCGCGTGGCGGCGAGAAATCCGCACAGACCCCTGCACTAGCTTTGCACCCACGCACGCAACAGCCACTTTTGCGGGGGATGGGGGGGAGATGTCTGGTGTGAGTTTGTGAGCTGAACCATTCTCCTTTGTCTTTTTTTTGGGGGGGGGAGGTTCCCATTAGGTATATCACCAGGGTAAGTTTTGCGTGGATTCAGTGCTCCTCACGCTTCCTCCCCGCCCAGTCCACTCCTGTGAAACTCGCAACTCAAGCTGCTCCCCCCCCACCCACCCACAAAGTGAGGCTCTGGCGTGAACTTCCGTGGAGGAAGCAACGCTGTTAACGCGCCGCAGGGAAGGTTGGGTTACTAGAACTAAATGCAGTAAGACAGCCGTGATCTCGCGTGGGCGCCCTCGGACTCAACTCGGAGCTTCCCCGCTCCGCGAAATCGCTGCTGCCCTCTTTTTGCCGGGTGCGGCTCCCTCCTCGCGGCTTCCCGCTAATAATAATAATATTTTTTTATTTATACCCCGCCCTCCCCAGCCAAGGCCGGGCTCAGAGCGGCTTACAAGCAATAATAAAAACAAGAAGAATGATTACAACTTAAAAACAAAAATAAAATACAACATTAAAATAATGGAACATTAAAATATTAAAATGTAGCCTCATCGCAGGAGGAGAAGGAAAAGAAAAAAGAAAGGGAGGGAGGGAGGGAATCAAATTGGCTCCAAGCCAAAGGCCAGGCGGAACAACTCTGTCTTACAGGCCCTGCGGAAAGAAATCAGATCCTGCAGGGCCGTGGTCTCATGAGGCAGAGCGTTCCACCAGGTCGGAGCCAGAGTTGAAAAGGCCCTGGCTCTGGTTGAAGCCAATCTAACTTCCTTAGGGCCTGGGACCACTAGGGTGTTGTTATTTATGGACCTTGAGGCTCTCCGTGGGGCATACCAGGAGAGGCGGTCCCGTAGGTACGAGGGTCCTAGGCCGTGAAGGGCTTTAAAGGTCAAAAGCAGCACCTTAAATCTGACCCTGTACTCCACTGGGAGCCAATGCAGCTTGAAAAGCACTGGGTGAATATGCTCCCATGGCAAAGACCCCGTGAGGAGCCTCGCTGCAGCATTCTGTACCCGCTGGAGTTTCTGGGACAGCTTCAAGGGCAGCCCCGCGTAGAGCGAATTACAGTAGTCAAGCCTGGAGATGACCGTCGCATGGATCACTGTGGCCAGGTCGGGGCGGGAAAGGTAAGGGACCAACTGCTTGATGCGGCGAAGGTGGAAAAATGTCGCCTTGGCTGTTGCTGTAACTTGCGCCTCCATGGAAAGGGAGGCGTCAAGGATTACACCCAAACTCTTAACAGAAGGCAATGGCACTAATTGGGCCCCCGCAAGAGAAGGGAGTTGGTCTAGGCGAGGCCTGGATAAGGACGGCGGATTTCTGAATCCGAAGCGGGCAACTAGCAGGATGGAGGCTTGGCAAGGGGAATTGGGGGCGGCGCCGCCTCCAGAAGGGCGTGTCGATGCCCGTGGGATTTCCTTGCGCCCGCGTGTCGGGCGGGGGAGTGCCCCTCGCGACGTAATGCGAACAATGACGTCGATGGAACCCTATTGAGCGATTAGGCAAGCATTGCGAGCATGGGAACCGAGCCGCTCTGCAGGTGAGGGGAGAGGGAGGCGCTGTTCCTCTTTACGGGGGAAATAGCTTTGCTTTTTGCTCGTCTTTGTGGGCGGGGTGGAGCGCAGGTGACGGCCCACCTCCGCCTGGGCGACGGTCAGGACCTGGGAGCGGGGCGGGGCGGATTCCTGTCCGCTCTTGCAGGCGGCTACTGTAGCCTTGGATCCGTGACCAGAGGCCCCTGAAAGGGGCTTGTCCCTAGCAAACCTCTCCACTTCCTCGCAGGTGGATCTGGCCAAGAATCTAGACGGGGCATTGCGCTGGCAAAAACCCCCAGGAATAAACTAACGACCCCAAGCCTCAGCATGTTTACTTGAGAGTAGGGCCCACTGAGTTCAGCAGTTGGGGAAGACTGGGGTTGTAACCACTCCAGGGAAAGTGCTGTGTTTTTCAGGGACGCGGACTTATAAAAAATATTGGGGGGCCCGGGAAAGCTCATGAATAATAAATAAGCTCATGAATATGCAAATAAAGTGGCTCCGTCCCTAAATAGGGCAAGCCACGCCCCCCCAGCCAGCCGATTGGCTGGCTGGGAGGTGTGGCCAGTCGGGATTCCCCTGTTCTCGGCGGGGGCTGAAACCGCCAGGAGGAAGGAAATTCCCCCCGGCAGTGCCTTGGCAGTGGCGGTGGTGCTGCGAAGCAGCGAGGCAGGAGCCCCCGGCGCCCGAGATTATTGGGGGGCTGAAGCCCCCCAAAAAATTTTTTTGAGGGGCTCGAGCCCCCTCAAGCCCCATGGAGTCGGCGCCTATGGTGTTTTTCCTGGCCAGCTAGATGTACACCTGTGCTGGTGCGATTTCAGTTTGGCTGGGACTATCCTGAACCACTTCCTTGTAAGGTAGGACGCTTCTGTTCCTATTGCCCAACTAGAGGATAGAAGCTGAAAGAAAGCAGCTGTGTACACAAGAACAGGCAATCAGAGTTAAGCTTGCTTGGGTTTGCCCAGCAGGCCTTCACCTGGCATACTAGTATTAGTCAGCATTGGTTACTCATAGGAACATAAGAAACTGCCTTGTACGGAGTCGGACCATCAGTTCATCTAGCTCTCTGATTGTCTCCACCGACTGGAAGCAGCTCTTTTGGGTTCCCTGGAGATGCCAGGAGTTGAACATGGGATCTTTTGCAATCAAAGCTGATGCTCTGCTCGCGATGCGGGTTTAATGAGAAAAATAAAATTAAAAATATTGCACACACACTGTGCATATTAACAAAAACCCCTCAGAACATTTTTAGAGGCCTTTAAACAGCATGTTTATTTAGTTGCATTTAGTAAACAGAAGTATTTAAAAACAAAAACCTCCCAAGTTTGCCTAATATTTGGGATCCAATCCTTGTTACTGGTGGCCTTATGAAAGTTCCTTTGTAACTATTATAAAATTGAGTTGTCTGCACCAGCCTATTCCAGATGGTGGAGGGGCTTTCTAGTAGCATAGCTGCAATTCCAAAGCTCTAGGTTTTCACATGCCAGCGCCGTGTACTGATCCTGCTTGTTTTGCTCTGCTGCTCTTGTCCCCAGGAGCATGGCTAAAGGTGGTGAATTCCTTTAAACAGAAGTCGCCACCTGCATTTTTGAGATTTTTGGACTCCTCCTAGTGTCTTGTAATGCTTCTGTACCAGAGGGTATAGGTCAGACTGGCAACAGACTTGCGGGGGGGGGGGGGGCAGGAAAACTACCAGCCTCATGTCTGGCAATGAGTAACGTAGGTGCTGGAACAGAAGTCAAGCTAAAGTAAATAATGCAGATGTGGTGCAGCTTTAGGCCTTCTAATGTGATAACGAAGATTTCCGGTACTAGCTTCTTGAGGCACTTATACATTGGTGGACTTCAAGGGAGCTGGCTTCGCATGTCCTGCCCAACTCTCCCTGCCATCCCAAAGTCAAGAATGCAGCTCTGCCTCTGGTGATGTGACAGTCTCCATGGTATGGAGAGGAAGTAAATAAATTTCAACGGGGCACCAGGACTGTTTCCAGAGAGGAGAGCACTGGGAATGTCTCTGTGAAGGAGGTGCGAATGGGGAAGACTGGTGTTTACGAAGGATGGGGCGGCATATGTTGCAGATGTCAACTGGCATGTTTTGGTTTCCCAGTGCAAGGCTCGCGCCCGGGCAAGAATGTGCAGCTGGCCGAAGGCGAGATTCGGGGCCTGTGCCTGAAGTCTCGAGAAATCTTCTTGAGCCAGCCCATCCTGTTGGAGCTGGAAGCCCCGCTCAAGATTTGCGGTAAGTTTCCACCTACTGTTTAGTACAGCCGTTAGCCTATAGTTGCTTAAGGGGGATAAATCTGAAATGCATCTCAATATTTTGGTAAACTGGGAATGCCTATTTCCCCCTCCCCACGAGCGGCTTTTGTTCATCATACTTTTATTCAATCATGTATGTATGTATGTATGTATGTATGTATGTATGTATTTGTTAAGTTCTGCCACATCTGTACTGTTTTTGGAGATGGGTGGTAAGTTAATGCTATTGTTTCTGCTTCAGCCAAGGTCCTATGCTAGTGGGGCACTGGCCCATGGCCCATTTGGTTTGAGAGGCCCACAGACCTCCCCTCTAAGACTGCAATCTCCCTGCTCACTCTGTAGGTCACTTAACCTCGTCACTGTCTGCCAGTGATTAACCTTCATCTGATTTCCTGTTCATTTTGGTTTCAGGCAAGTTGACATTAGGAAGGGACAAAAGTCATAGGGAGGTGCAAATTAAAAGTGGCAGAGAAGGTGGCAGAAGTCAG